TAGGCCCATTACATAATCGTCATCATTGAGTAAAAGCGGCGGTCGAAAGAAGGCGTTTAAAATAGATGTCGTACCAGTAAATGTCAATGTATAAGACATTGTCGTTTGACGATAATAATGTAACTGACGCAATCAGTGTGCGTTATTGTATAAAAATCGTAGCACTAAATGTCCACAATTAAAAGAATTAGGAAGTTGTATGTGATCGTAATTGTATTTAATAATGTTCCTGCTACCATCGCTTCGAAAATAGCGCACTAGCTCGTGGGGTGGTTTTACCCGTCCTATGCTATCAAAATAGGAAATACGTGTGCCAAGCTTAACATACGCTGTCCAATGTGTACCGTCGTTATTTTCATCGTCTAGGTTTACGATACCGCATTCGTCCCGATTTATTTTCTTCGGTAAGGTATTCCGCATAAAAATACCTCTAAAATGTTGTATTCCTAAATTGTTGACATATTTCGACAAATCCAAGTCTGTTAACGGACGGCGTGGTAGCTTCACTGGAAGTTTTTTTGATAGGGGTTTAAATAAAGGCCTAATCCTGTCTTGTACGGTTTTAAGTATAAACCTTTTCCTATCGCGGCGGCCTCCATCACTTCATTATGACGTTTGCTCTCCTCCAATTGTTTGGCGGCATTCCTCGTGCCATTTACTGCTCTAGCAATAGCCGCCGCTCCTCCTCCTAACGAACCAGCGGCTCCCAGTGCAGCAAACAATGGAATTAACGGTATGAATCCGCCAGTCTTAGGTATGGGTAAAATGCGCCGTTTTGGCGGTTTGACCTTTTTCTTCTTTAACGCGTTAACAGCTCGTCGAACAGTTGTATTCAGATCGTAGTGAACGTTACCACCAGTATACTTTCTAGCTAGTTGAACGCCTTTGTTAAACGAAATTGTTGCTGTGTTTCTTCTTCTTTTTTTGATGGTACGTCGTCGCGTACCCATGCCCAACGTTCTTTTACCTTTCATAATGCCTGCAACGGTAAGGGCGGCTGCTTTTTCGCCAAAAGTGGCGTTTCTCGAACGAAACCTCTCCCACGCAGCTTTTTGTAAATTTTTATCGGCCTCGTGGCGGTCACTAATATTGCTAGACCTTGAATATGCTATATCGTGATCTCTGCACGCTTCGTCTAACGGATTTATACCTCGATCACCGCGAGCCAATCGCTTGCTTAGACGAGTGCCAGGTCCGCAAAATTGGTATCCGGGCAGATGCAATTCAACTGGCAGGTTATTTATTAAATTGTTAATAAGACCTTTCCCCGTTTTAGACGTTATTCTTCTTTTCTTAACGTTAGAGTGAAAGTTCATGCTCGCTGGTTGACAGGCAACTACTGAGCTCCTAAGCATATACGGACTTATATAGTAGGTTTCAGTGTTTTATACACTTCCAGTAGAGCAATGGCCTCCATACGCTTCAAACCGCAAGAAACGGCACTACCTATAAAAAATTACGACGCGTGTTCGAGAGATAAACGAGTTTCAAAACACAGTAGCCTGTTACAGGGTGGTTGCAAACGTGGCATCATTGTAGGTAGATCAGGTTGTGGTAAAACGAATGTTATGATTGCATTATTAGAACAATCCAACGGTTTACGCTTTGAAAATGTATACGTGTATTGTAAATCGCTGCCGCAACCGAAATACCAATATCTGCGTCAGTTGTTGTCCCCAATTAAGGAAATTGGGTATTTTGAATATACTGACAGTGCAGACATCGTCCCACCTAACCTCGCACGTAGCAACTCGGTAATGATTTTCGATGACGTTGCTTGCCATAAGCAAAACGAGATTAGAGAACATTTCTGTTTTGGTAGACATAAAAATAACGATTGTTTTTATTTATGTCAAACGTATTCGGCCATCCCCAAGCAGTTATTCGAGACAATGCTAATCTAATTGTGTTGTTTCAACAGGATCAAACTAATTTAAAACACGTGCACGAAGATCACGTGAATGTCGATATGCCATTTGATCGCTTTAAGGAAATGTGCGTGAGGTGCTGGAATGATAAATATGGATTCTTAGTTATCGATAAAGAAAGTGACATGAACTCGGGTCGATATAGGAAAGGTTTTGATTGTTACATTTTAATATAAATATCGATGTTTCATATGGAAAAAATGCAGTCAATATGAAACAGCGTTTAATAGAAGACCTCCTTGATGCCAGAAAATCTGTTAAACATAAATACATCTCCTTAAAGCGTGATTTTGCGCTGGCAGAACGTAAATCCGAGCAACATCTTAAACCCATTACTCAACCGCTGAAGCAACTGCTTACTAAAGCTACACCTCAGAATTTTAAACGTGAAAATATTAAACATGATAGTGCCGACGTGACCTCATCTACAGAGACCCTACTTCGGACCCCTCTAAAAGCGTCTACTGCTCAACGAATCCCTAAAACCCTTTTTTCGGAACACGAGGAACAACCGAGCTTTTTAGACACGAGCGTGATTGCCGACACCACTCGCGATGATGAAACGCCAACTCTAGATGAATTAAGAGCTGAGCTCTCGCGGGCTGGCGACCATCCATCTTTTACGGAATTCTTAGATCAATACGATGGATTGGCGAAGATTTATGTGGAGCAGATGTTCAGATCTACAGAGAATGAATTTGATCATCGATATGGTGTACGATACATCCCGGAAGCCAATAAATTCTACGTTGGAGATTCCGAGTTGGACTTTGACAAACAAGATTTGGTTCTCAAACTTCCTACAGGAGACACAGTAGCATATAACGGAACTCCTGGTCTATACGAGCTACTGTTTAAGAGGCAACCTCTTGGGTACAAAACCGCAGATGAGAATAACTATCGTGACATATTGCTCCGCACTAATGCAATACGACGTCATTACAATCCAAATGAACAAATTCAAGGCACCGGAAAAAAGTACAGCAGCATCATTAAACCACTTTTTAGTACCCGTGTATCAGTTCCCAGAATTCAAACTTCCTCTGTTAGCACAAGGAAAGGGAAAGGTATTCAAATGTTACAATTAAACAACAAGCGAATAGAATTTATGCCCTGGAGCAACCCCAACAAATTAGTTAACTGGCTGCGGGTTTTATTGGGATCTCAATCCGCAGGGAACACGAACAATCACAATGAAATCATATACATCATAGATGAATTGCGGAATGCTGAAATAATAAAGTAATTTAGTTGGTAATGTGTTCTAATAAATAAATAGTGAGATTGTATCTTTAATCGATCAGTTTGAAGCAAAGATGAGTATTGACAAGTTCGGTAAACACATTCTAAATCAATCAAAAGCTGAAGAGGTGTCTTCTTATACGTATGAGTCATACTTGTATCTGTTGGGAACGCCCGCCGAGAATACGCCGTTCATACGTTGGCACACCTCGAGTAGAACACCACAAGCGTTTGCATTTCCTCTAACGGAATGTGTTGTAATTAAGAGTTCCTGGTCCCCGCGCCATGGAACTACTATTATTATAAACGAACGTTTGTACAATACTCCGTTGAAGTTAATAGGGATAACACTACGTAAAGGTGACATCATCAAAGCCAAATGTCCGAAGTATAATGCAGGGCAGTTATTTTGCTTGGAACTACTATTACAATCACGTCTCAGGAAATGAGTAAAGTACAGCTAGTGGAAGAATTACATAAACCTGCAAGAAGGAACTTTCCTAGGCGGCACGTAATTATTAAAGGACTAAATGACCTATTCCAAGCCGATTTGGTGGAAATGATACCTTATGCGCCAATGAACAAAGGTTTCCGTTACATTTTGGTGGTTATAAACACATTTTCTAAATTTGTTTGGGCGTACCCTATAAAACGAAAAAATGGAAAACTGGTGGCAGATGTTATGAATAAACTTTTATCGGGACTTAAAACGACCCCGAAACATTTACAAACAGATATGGGAAAGGAATTTTATAACAAGGATTTTGGAGATGTAATGAAGAAATTCAATGTCAATCATTATAGTAGCTATTCTACCCTAAAAAGCTCTATTGTTGAGCGCGTTAACAGAACGCTTAAGTCAATTATGTTCAAGAAATTCAGCTTACAGGGTTCCTACAAAATGGCTATCACTTTTACCTCAAATAGTTGACAAATACAATTCAACTAAACATCGAACTACGGGATATAAACCTATCGATGTTAACGAGAAGAACGCCTCAAGTATTTTGAAGAGAATTTACAGTCATATAAATGTGATTAACCCAAAACCACCTAAATTTAAAGTGGACGATTCTGTGAGAATTAGTAAATACAGAACCGTTTTCGCAAAAGGTTACACGCCAAATTGGACTTACGAGACATTCACAGTTGCTAAAGTGAAACGTTCAAATCCTACGACATATATACTAAAAGATAGTACAAATCAAGAAATAAAAGGAAGATTTTACGAACAAGAATTACAAAAAGCGCAGTACCCCGACATCCACTTGGTTGAGCGAGTAATTCGAAGAAAGGGCCAGAAATCCTTAGTGAAGTGGTTAGGATTTGACAGTTCTCACAATTCTTGGGTATTAAATAAAGATATTCTATAAATTTTGGCATTTCAAAGCTGTACTTCAAGTAAGATGTGTTTAGAAGACGGCGCAGCTGATTATACCAACTTTGAAGATCGACTCCTATCATTTCATTCATGGGTAGGAGTTCCATCGGCAGTTGAACTTGCTAATGCTGGATTTTTCTACACGCATAGCGGCGATACGGTGGAATGCTTTTATTGTAAAGTGCGCATTAATAAGTGGGAGGCCTCCGATGTACCCTTAGCTGAGCACCTTCGTTGGTCGTCACGTTGCAGATATGCAAGATTATTAAATCGTATGGCCTGCTTGAAGATTAATGAAACAGAGAAGACCTACTGCGTTTGTGGTTGTAGTCCGGGCGCTCATCTTATTTAATAAAACAATGCGATTTATTTTTTTATTGTAATTATGGCACATGGTATTGTAAACATTTTAAATAAACATTTTAAATAACTTAGCTTGTTATTGATGATTACAAAGAATTAAGAAAATCTTCCAAATTTTGAATTGCGTTAATATCGCGATGTCCCCATGCCAATGTTCTGCAGGTGCCAGGGATAATGTATCTTTTGTCGTCCGTTGATGATAAGGCTATTTTGTTTGTCATTTCTGTGTACATGGTGTGCAAGTGAGATCGAAAACCGCTCATCTGCTTCATAATCACGCCACCTTCTTCGACTACTTTCTTATAATCTTCCTCTTTTAAGCCGTTCTTTATTACATACTTTTTTACCCCTTTAGCTTTCTTATCTACACGATCACCTACATTGACACAGTATGACTTTGCACCTGCACCGTAAAAACTAGCGATGGGGACACCGCAATATTCATCTTTCATCTTCCCCACAACTGAAATGTTGCGTGGAATACCGTGTACATTATCAAGGGGAAATTTAGATGTGTCATATCTATCCAAATATAATTTCATGTCATCATAGAAATTATTAGTAAAAATCTCCAATATAAGGGAATCGGTGTCTGTATACAACAAAGATACTTTATCTTGATATAATGGTTTTAGAAAATCGTAAAAGAACTCGTACATAACTGTTTTGGATAAATCTAAAATTGAAAAACCAACATACACCGGTTTGTTGTACTTTACGGATACTTTGGACATTTCAATTGCCACGAGATTTTCAGAGAACACCGATAAATTTTTAAAATTTGGTTTAGATATGTGCCCCTCAGCTCCAGGCTTCTTACCGATCCTCTCCCAGTGACTTACAAGTGCAACGTTAACTCGTTTGTCAACGTTTTCCATAGTTTTACCATAAATGCTGTTATTCATAGTTTTTATAGTGTCACGGCCCGATTCGCTAGTTTCACGATTACGCAGTTGCGTATTTAGATCAATATATGATTTTAACCAAGGCGATTGCATAAATTTAACCCCGCGATGAATATTTTTTAAAATTAATCCGTGTTGCAGGCATTGTCTTAGCATTCTATAATGTAAAACGTATTTTTCCTTATGATTTAAATTTGGAATTAGTTTCTTATACTTTGACCTTGAATTTGGCGGGGTTATAGATTCGGGGCAATAGGGCATGTCATTTTGCAAATTGTGGAGGGCCTCAGGGTACAGTAGATCAACATTCTAAGACATACCCGATCGGTGACTCATCTGATATTTCGAAAACATTAAAATTTTGAATTTCTTCGGGTGTGAGCCAAGCAAAGTCACTTTGTGGGAGAAATTGTGTTTGGGAATGGCCATAAAGATTGCATGCATCCAGATAAATAATAAAAGAGCTTGGTTTGGAAGGATCGTAATTGGGAAGAAATTTATTGTTAGCGATTGCTTTGCGTTTGGTGCACGTACTGACGCCGCCTCGAATACCACGTTTAAAAAAATGAAGCATGTCAATATCTGTCAGTAATTCTATGTAACGCTAAGTTTGAGTGGCGCTGATTTACAAACCCCACGTTAAATAAAGGGGATGCCTCAGCTAGCGGCTCAATTAAATTAAACCACACGAAACTATAATACTCAGGGTAGGGCGTTAGACTAACGATTTGACTTACCCCCTCAAACAATAAATGGGCGCCACCTTGTTCACTACTAGAGAAGGTCTTCGGTTCAACCTGAACAAGGAAGGTTGATACCACGGCAGGGCAATAAATACCCTGTAGGAACGAGCAATAATCCAAAACACTGGAGGTAACTTCAACGGTGATAGTATAATTTGTAACCAACAGTATTGCAATTACACATGCAAATAATCACAGAATCAATTTAAGGTACCCCAACACACAGTATAACAAGTAACAACAAATATGTATAAAATCAACTACTAAAGTAGATATATATATATAACAACTAATGACTAACCCACAGGTAATATCACATGCAAAAATTAGTGAGCGGCAACCGACGCGAAGCCCGTGGGTTAATTGCCCCACCCTTCCCAAATAGTAGTCTATCCGCAAACAAAATGGTCTTCCCACCCTTGCTTTTCCCTTTTTATAGTGAGGTCGGCAGTGGCCAAGCAGCCTGGATTAAACGGTGTTGCATAAATGGATAGTTCTAGGCATTAATTATAAGCTAAACACTTTAATGACGTGGTACGGGGTTGCTTAGTTAACAAGGCGGTATGAGTACTCATGCGCTTACAAATTCAACGGGATCCACAGCAGTATGACCCGTAAATGTACCAATTATTCCTATCCCCTTACTTTGTACCTCCGATCGGTAAAGTGCCCCAGATGCGAGCGTAACCCTTCGCTTAAGATTAACAAAATAGGAGTGCCTATGCAATGGCAAATAGTACTAATATCGAAAGGCTAAGTTTATTTCACCGTTCTCCGGAAACGTGGCGGCTACGTGGTGTTCCTGCTCCCCTTAAGATTCTTCGTGTCGGTTGTCCCCCCCCGTGGTTACAAATCTCAGGATATCCGGGAGCCCTCAGCTCGGGTAATAACCGCTACAATCGGCCTCTAGGTGGACAATCGGATGACAATAAGGTCCAGCAGTGGGAAACCAACCATGCGTGACCACAAGTTTGACATGAGATAATTACGTGCGATACAAAAAAAACAGGAAAAGTAAAACCCTAAAACAATGTCGGAATTAATACTGGTTTTTGGCCAAGATTTAAGCATACCTCTTAATTAAAAAGAGGGCTTTTTAAAACTCGTTAATTAACGAGATGCCTCGAGGTTATCGGCAATCAAAGCTCTGGCTTAGGTGATGCGAAGAACAGGTGCGTTATCTAAAAGAACAGCGTGGCTGTGACAATAGAAATGATACGCAGATGTTACTTACGTCAAGCAAATGTATTCAGATCCCGTAACGGTAAATGGATAAAATGGTCTAACAAACCAATCTCCAAAACATCGATTATTCATGGACTCGAAAATCCACAATTCGGCGATATGTAACTATATTATGCCCATGAAAATTTTCAAGACGCCATCACACCTGTTCGTTTTTAAAGCAAGCACCAATGAATGAAATATTCACCGCTTAATACGTGTCGGTGGAGTAACGCACATGCGCAAAAACATAGAAAATATTCCCAATTTGCAATATGCCAGTGGCGTAACCTAATATCGGCCTGTAAGAATCCGTAGCATAGAGAAAATGAACGGTGAGAAGAATTAAAACCGTTACATCTAATTCCACATCCGTCTTTTTTAACATAGCGTCCCAGCTAAGGCTAGGACCGGTCAGATATTGGGCAGCGTCAATTTCGTACTCGCGTAAACACATGCCTCTGTAGTTTTCAAATATATCGGCCAATAAAAGCACGTCAGATTTTAAATAAATGTCCGAGTATTCGCCCAACGTCTGGCAATTAAATAAATTCCAAACTTCCTGAGCACGTCTGTATTCTTCATCGGTAATGTCCTGCTCGTGCAACATATCAAAGAAATCGCTTTTATTGGGGATCGTAGTTAGATTAAGCTTATCGTATGAGTCTACAAACGAATACGGAAAAACACCTTTTTGTCGAATTAATTCAAATTCACGTCCAGATCCAAAAAATTTTGTAATTTCAGTGCACTCGCTATCACTCAAATTTTTAGCAAGAACATTTAATGAACTGGCCAGAAAACGAAAACTATCGACGAAACGTATTCTCCATATTAGGTTTTTTGGAACTCCGTTCTCCACGATTTGATCTACTACAATATGCTTCGAAAAAGAAATATACTTTTCCTTATTTCCGGCAATAACGTCTATATTTTCATTCTCTAAAGCCAGGGATTTAACGAAAAGATGGCTGTCGTACCCGGTCAAATTGTGGAAAAATACAGGGATAAAATTTGGGGTTTGAAGCTGTAAATTACATATAGAATGACATAATCCGGCCCTGACGAAAGAAGTCTGATGGTCGTGGTCGATCACTTTTACATCTCCCTCAACAAAAGGTTTCTCACAAATCCCATAATTTGTGGCAAGATTAATTTTTCTCCGTTCCTCTTCTGTTAAAATTTGTAAAGGTTTACTTTGCTTAAAATGTTGATTGTATATGGTTAGAATATCATTCTCTAGTATATTTATAAACTGCACTGGAGCATTGGCACCTCGATAAATTTGAAACTTTGAAAATTTATCATCAAAAGAACATTTAATATAATACGCGAACGAATATGGTTCGTGCTCAAATGTTTTGGTAGTAAATTGAAGAAGAGGATTCGGTTGAGGTCCTTCTATGGGCTTAAGCAACGATTCGAAATCCGCATAGACAACAAACGGGTGTTTGACTTTATTTTGGTAATTATTAAATTTAAGTCGATTATCAAATGACGGCTGGCCCCACTTTGTCAAGATAGGTTCCTTTGTAGGCAAAAATGTACAAACATAATTACAATCGAATCTAGAATGGCGCCACAGGTTTTCCTGACTTGTAAAATATTGCAAGCATCCGTCACATAGATAAATAGCTTCTTTGTGCTTGGACACTTGCATGGAAATTAATCGCGACATATTAGAAATGTAGCAGTAGTGACTGTTGCCATCTAAATTAGACAAGTATAAAAGATTTACATGCACGGCTTTCTTTTGTTTGGTATAATGTAAAGGACCTACTACTTTATATGTCATTTTACCTTGTTTCTGTGTGTCCTCCTCTAAACCGTAAACGTTAATGGACAAGGGATTCATTTCTTCAAATTTTGATATCGCATCTAATTTTACCGGGAACGTTATTCCTTCAAAATTGAACTTTTCTAAATAGTCCGGATACGAATCCGGTTCGCAGGGATGTCCAGTTGGAGTATAAATAGCTGCAACTAGCGCCCATCCAAAACATCCGAAATCCTCGTTCTTTACATTAATAATGGCTCTTTTGCGTGAGATAAATGCAGGGGTCGGTATGAATGAAGAAGCTCGTAGCGGGTTATATTTATTAATGTTCACTTCCATATATAACCAGTGCTGAAGAGCCCATCCTAGAACAAATAATTATGTAAACATGGCATAAACAATTGGATATTAATACCTGACTCGCGATGTTCAAATTCCGTTGCGTCAACTTCCAGTTTTTCGATGATATCCTTAAACCATTCACTTAAGTCGGAACTTATCGTCAATACTTGGTTACGAGTATTAAAAGACTTAACTTCTCCTCGATCCTTCGATTCCAAAATAAAATAACCAAACAGCTCGCAGTTCACCTTAACGCTACCCATGATATCAATTTGCTCACGAACTAATTTTTTTATTACGTCAGCCAACGATTCGACAAATTCCTTCAGATTAATGTATTGTGTATTCGCTGATATTCTGTAGCTCACAATGCGAGATTTGAAGGCTGACGTAATTACTTGAACCCCTTCAGTTGAAAACGCAAGGGAATTATTTTTATGTTTGACACTTCGCAAATGTCCAACATAATCTCGGCTTGAAACGTGCTCCGAACACACATCGCAAAATCTCTGGGTATCGTGTGTAACTTTGAGCTTCTTTGGAGATGGTTCTTGAGCTACGATTTAAACACTTTTTTTTTTGCAAGAGTAATAAAAATTCCTTACCTCTACATGACTTTTTGAGATGGCGTCGAAGATTGCTATTAGTAGCGAATGATTTATTACATTTTTCACACATAAACATTTTTGATTCCTATAAAATTGAGTCACAAATGAAATAATTTCGCAACTTTCTCACCTTATAAACGAGCTTGATCTCCTTTTTTAAATAAGCAGTTGGCACACCGGCTTAATGATCCCCCAAAATCTGAACTCTTCAATATTTTTACTGGAAGCTCCTAGATAACAGTAAATGACAAAAAAAAAGTAACTCCACTCAATTACTTACCCTACGGATAACTGTTGGATGTCCGCTAATAACTTTGCCCTCCTTTCAATAAGGTGCTCCACTTGGCAATGGCACCACTGGAGATCGCAAAAATTGTTTTCCCGTTTAATAGATAAAATCTTAAAAAATCGAGAAAGTTGTTTTTCGGCGTCTATAAGTTGACGGTTAAGGCATTCAATGTCACCGAAGATTTCTTCAAGAAGCGAATAATCGAAATCTGGACAAATTAAATCTTTAAAAATATCTTCTATTAACTCGTTTTCTTGCACATCAGCTTCTTTCGCGGGCACGACTACAATGTTCTGCAATATTTTAATACGGGGCGAAGCACTCATGCTTACTGCAGCTGCTCGATATTTTTGCACTATATATGTGTGGGGTTTAAACTAATTGATCAAGGAGCATGATTGAGCATTTCCTCTCTACAAATTATCTACCAATATCTCAAACTATTTGAAGATATCGACTGCCCATTAAAATTTTTTTTCTTGGGATTCGTGCTCCTCCTAACGAATACACCTCTCCAAAAAGGTTTGGATTTCCCCATTCCATCGATATTCGCATATATAAGGTTCTTTGGTATAAATACAACTTCTTCAATTAAAAAAGATTCATAACATTTCGTTAACAAATATCTAGTTAATATGGAAACTCACGGTAAGTAGAACTTAAATCTTTTAGGCATCAAAGTAATTACTTATTTTCCTATCAGAAATCGAAATTTGGGACGTGGTTCCTTTCGAATTATGGATAGACCGGCCCGTAGATACCCCCAAGACGGTCATCGTGAACAATTTTGAAAGAACACCCCTATTTGTGACAACGGTTCCACCCACCGGCCCGCCTATCATAACATCATTTGGGCCGGTCACATTCACCATGCGTGAATCAAATAACACATTGGAATTTTTTTTCATAAACACTTTTAAATAAAAACTTTCCGATTTCTATTACATTTTATTACCTTTGAAAAATAAACCCTTTACCAAGCATTTCGTTTTAGAATAAAAGATAACAAACCTTACATATCCATTCAGTAGTCATGTATAAAACGTTAATAATAATGGGTTAAGTATATCGTTTTGTCTTATAACAGGATTTACTTTGTAAAAGATTCACCAAATTATGGGAAAAAAAACTCACATCATTCGAAAACTCTTCGATCTAGGTTTATAATTTTTTATTTAGTAAATTTATTCAGTTACGTAAAGTAATAAAGGAAAATAAATGAATCCCATTCAAAAATAGCTAAAGTGTGTGTATGGCTGCCAAGCGCCTGCAACCCTTAACGCGAACACGAAACAATGACTAAATACGAGTGAAGTGAATGTTTCTGTCCATTTTTACGTTTTATGAGAAAGCTGTTTCATTCTAATTTAACTTAGAGACATCCAAAATTCGATTATTATTTTTATAATCAAACTCACACTCAAAACGAGATTTATTACAATAATAAATTGTAAATCCATTAACTTTTACGCGTATTTCAAGTCTGTTACTCATACACCGTCCATCATTCAGACGTGTTAAATCATGTGTAATTAAAATATTCGTAGTAATTTAGTGCAGTAATAAATTAGACATCCATTAACTTAATACAGTCGAACTATGACATCAAAATAATCATACGCGATTTATTCCATTAAGATTGAATACACATACGCATTGATTAAAAAATACCTACTTTACTATCTAAATAACCTAAAAAAAAGTTAAACGGCACTTGATATTTGTATTTTATCTTTACCCATAAGTGTCCACTTAACTAAAATTTTATGATTCCTAAAAATCCGAAACAAATGTATTACGCTATTTCAGACCCTTATTGAACTGTATAAGGAATGAACGACAGTTTTACGATGGTTTTTTTCGCGTTTCGGATTACCTACATTACAATTAATTGTATAAAATTCCCTATAAAATATGTAGACCACTTTTGCTGTGATCGATAGATGAAATGAAATGCTACTTCCACTTAAATACGTATCCGCGAATTTGTATTTATCACAACACCTAATTATGGGTGATTTTGCTTTACGTAAAACGGATTGGCTTGATTACGTTTATTGCTTAATGTGATTCGAAGTTTATAGACCACGATTCATTTTTGCTTATTTATTATATTTAGATCCAGGTTTTTTTCCCCTATTAATTATAGGCATCCATTAAGCACTTGTTTACTTTAAATTAAATTATTATCACTTTATAGAGGAAGACATATTTGGGCATGTAATAAATTGTAAATGCATTACGTTTTACGCGTTATGTTCCATTAATTGGTAACACTTTAATTTTTTTCCTGTATGTAAAACGCATTAAACTTACTAAACTACATAAATTACCTCAGATTCCCTGCGATAATTTAACTACATCAAACCCAAATTATTATAACAGCGCTCGGGCAAACTGTCATTTAATGACAAGCACGGTCTACAGAAAATGTTCCTGGCCAGTTAATACTGAATAGATTTCAAAAAATTAAGGACCAGTTAAACGAATGCACTGTAATTTACTCCGGCGAAATTTTGCTAAATTTTTGTTTAACAGGGTAGCACACTCATGAACGTTGATGTTTTTTCAACTTCATTTTAATACCCGAGCGCTGTTCAGGAAATTGGGTATTTTGAATATACTGAAACACGACTTCTTTGAATCTTCATAATTTATTACACACTTAAATGAGATTACTAAGAATTAAATTTATGAACTTTTCCTTGTTCGAAATACAATTAATTTATGAGATCTTTCAGGCTCTTTGCGTCTTGATAATTAGTTAAGTAAAATGTTTCTTTTTTGCGTTACGAGTTTACGACTAAAGACGAGATCACGGACGGCCTAAATGGACACCCGTAAGTCACAGAGGATCCGTTTACCTAACTAAGCAAACACGGCTCATTTGTGACCCCATCAATTAAGATAAGATCAAGGACGGCTCAAATGAATCCCCGTACGTTAAGGAAGGATCATTTGAGACCCCAATGGGTTGTAACTAGGTCATCCAGGATTCTCTGAGACCCCACTCGCATTTTAAAAGTAGGTCAGAGGATTCATTGAATCCCCATAGGATTCTGATCAGGATCTGCGCATCCCCATCCATATAGAGCCCATATATGCGCGGAACCCAAGGTCAAAGAGGATCTGCGCACCCCCATTCTTTCCCTACTCAAGTCTTTAAAGCACGCGCAACGAGTTTAAGGGCACGACGCAAAGCGGAGTGCCTTTAACGTTGCAAGTGCTTTAAAGATCAATTATACACGTGTATCTTATAGTATTTTTTATTATACCTGCAGTATAATTTAAAAATAGGAAATACAATGAAGTCATATTGACGTTATACTCGAATACATGTCTAATAAAGTGGGCTGGGTGTTCGTAATTTCACGATTGCCATGGAAATGTAACTTGACGTTTGCTTATAAAAATCATCGTCTTTGTGAATTAAACGATTTCCGTTGAAAAAGATAATACACCGTCCATTAAATCGATTGTTGTAAAATCTAAACAAACGTTGGTAGGTGTAAAATCCAACTCCAGTAAAGCCTATTATAAAGAATATGAAAAGTTGTTTTCCATGGATGAATAGGAAGTTACTTACGAATACAGTCTTAAATGCATCCATAATGCTGGCATAATATGAAGGAAATGTCAAAGGTATTTAAATCTTCTATATTTTGGTGCATTCATTCAAAACTTTAAAGCAATGCTGCGATTAAAAAGTGGAACAGATTTGGAAGCATACCCTAAATTACGCGCGTTTGTGAAAGCTTCACCCAAAGGATAGGTACAAAAGCCAAAGAAATGTTCTGCATTTACAGAAAGCGACCTAAGAGGATTTTTTATTTCATCCAGATGACAGTTTCAAAAGTCATAGTTGAAGTATCGTTACTTAGCAACTTTAAAGCACGTGTGTTTTAAAGGCCCTTTTTCGCACGCATTTGAGTGTTTAAAACGGAGATTGTGATTCAGGTATAATAAAAAAGTACTTATTATATTATATTATATTGAATAATTATATTTCATGAAAACGAATTAAGAAAATGACATCAAATTGTATCTAAAAACAAGTAAAGTACTTGTAATATGTTATCAATTTCTTTTTTTGGTAATATTAATCAAAATGTTTTCTATAGGTATTACATGTGTACAAAGTGTGCTCTTCCTTGCTTTGCAAGGGGTGTTTTGAAGCCTGATGGGAATTTTTCGCTTTCTGTTTCTCATAATCATCCTCAGGATTTTGCTGAAAATCAATTATTTTACTTCCGGCGAGAGTTAAGACAGTCTGTGGGTAGGAGTACTAGCTCTTGTAAAGATATTTACGAAAGTATTCGTTTATTGTAAGTTAATATTCTGCAGTTAAGAATCTAAATAACAATATATGAATTTTTTTAGATATCCTGAAGCGGCTAATTTACTGCCATTTACTGCTGTTGAATCAGCTATGTTTAAGTGGAGAAGAACTTGTAGACCCCCATATCCTAACACTTTGCAAGAATATTATGACTTGCTAATATCAGAAAAGTGGTGTAATCGATTGACATACGATCGTGGCGCTCTTCAATGCTACTTCTTAAAGCCTTCAGAAAATGTTGAAATATTGTTGTTTTACAATCCCAATTATGTTGAGCCTTTATTATCAAATTGTGAAATGAACGTTGATGCAACATTCAAATGTGTGCCATGCAATGTTGGACTTTCAACGCGCAGTGCGCAGTGTTTTACCATAATGGTGACAATACATAATCATGTGAGTCGAATCCAAAATTTAATTGTAGTGACCACTTTTTTATAGTCGATACCATGTATCTGGGCACTCATGAGCAAACGTACTGCTGAAGCGTATGTAACACTGTTTCAACATTTAAAAAGTAATTTCCCCAGCATGACCGCTACACAAATAATGTGTGACTATGAAAGAGCATTATATCAATCGTTAATGGAGATTTTTCCTGAGTCTGAAATTCATGGATGCTTTTTTCATTTTTGCCAGGTAAACAGATAGTCAGTTGAATTGTATTGTTAACCAGAATATACTTTACAGGCAATTTATCGTCAATCAAAAAAGTTAGGATTGGGATCGCTAGTGACTCAAAATGAACATGCTCAATTTGTATTAAGGAAAATAATGGCATTAGCGTTATTACCATGTGATATGGCCGTAGAAGGATTTAATTTAATTAAATCTGAAGCCCCTGACGATATTCGTAATGCATTT